AGTGAGTTATTTCTGGTTCCCAGTGGATGGGTCACAAGGGTATAGATACACTGTCTATTAAAATTTCTTCTAGAAGTTCAACTGATTTATTTCTCGCTCTGCCTAAAACTTCATTTTAAAATCAATTCTAAAAGTAAGTAGCAGTTTAGTGGTCCAGTAGCAGTTTAGTGAGTACTAGGTGAAGAGAGCAGTGTGAGTGCCAAGTAGCAGTTGTGACTTTGCCAACAAGCAAAGACCTGTACATTTAATTCTGATAGTGCCATTGTCAACATGTGATTTGTCATGTTGATAGTAAGTAGATCTTCTAAAGAGAAAGAACATACTGTCATGAGATGTATTAGAAAGTCTTTGTTCTAGCAATAGGTAGAAATATAAGAAAATTCAGTATCTCCAGAGCCACACTTTTACATTTTTATTTTTTGTGGTAGTGGGGATTGAACTCAGGGCTTCACACTTGTTAGGCAGGTACTTTACCGCTTGAGACATTATTTGTATCTGTTATGTACTCCAGGATAACTAGGTAACTTGTTATTCTGCAACTCAGATATTTTATTATCTCAAATTTTTTGTGGGCTAGAATTCAGGAACAGCCTTATTGACTAGTATTTGCTCAGTGTTTTTCAGGAAATTGCAGTCAAAATGTAGGAGATGGTGGGGGGCGGGGGGCATGGCTCAAGTGGTAGAGTGCCTGCCTAACAGGTGCACAGCCCTGAGTTCAAATCCTAGTACCGCCAAAAGAAAATGTAGAAGGCAGAACTGAAGGACCTGCTTCCTAGATGACAGAAGACCTCAGTGGCTCATAGCAGGAAGCTATCAAAATTTGACCATGTGGATCTTTGCATGGAACCACTCAAGTAATACCTAGCTTTTCCCAGAGTGAGTGTGCTGAGAGAAAGCAAGGAGGAAGTTTTAATGCTTTTTATCCTCTTGTATATCACACACTCACATTTATCATACTATCTTCTTTAGTAACACATCACAAAGAAAATACTCAAATACCGAGAGTAGTTATAAGCTTACGTATCAAAGTTGGAGTTTAACTCAAGATATGCCCAAATACTTACCTTGTTTGCATCAGAGAAAGGAAATTTGTTTCATTCATTCATTGATAGTTCCTGCCAAGAGCCACTGAAGTCTTCTGTCACCTAGGAAATAGATCCTTCAAGTTCTCTCATTCATTCAGCTATTATTTAAATACATACTGTACTAATCAGTTTAATAGACACAGTGCATTGTGATAAAAATAAAACAAGGCCTTTGTAAGTTCACTAGTTTGCCCTGGGAGATGTATATCCCTTGTCTGTGCTTTTCTTCCCATTCCTTTAAAGATTGTAAGGGCTCTCTCAGCTTGTTGACATAATTTCCTAGTTGAAGTGATAAAGTGATGACTTTAGGTTAGTAATTGGAAAGTCTTAGGTTAATACTTCCCTGAATAACTCAGTTTATTCTTAAGCAGGAACACATTTATTTATGTTTTTTAAAATTACTGAGTATATAAAACCCCCAAAACATTTGAAATGAATAATTGTCAGAAGTAGAGGAATCAAGTGTTATTTGTTAGGCAAACAGGACAGAAAATAGAAACTAAAGGTCCTAGTTGACTTTAGATACAGACTTGCAACTGGTGAGTTAATCATTTTAGTCTTGACATATAACTATGATCTTTATTCTCATCCCTTTTTGTTCTAGTTATTTTTTCTTTTTCTTGTTATACTTTTTTTATGCTTTAGAGACACAGTGAGATAAAATGGTGTCCTCAGATAAATAGAACTGATTGGTATCTACGAGACAACTGTAGTGTCTAGTGTGTTCATAACACAAGAACCACTATTGAAAACAATCAAGCGGCAGAGAACAAGAAAATAAATTTTTAAAGGTAATTACAGTGAATAATGAAAGGCTAGAAAAGTGAATGAAATCTCCCAAACACAGACTGAAAATCTGGAAGAAAATTTTAGAAACAAAGAGGTAATCCATGTGGGCCAAATACAGAGATAATAGAAAGAAAAAGAAAGGGCATCTTTTTAACACAGATAAGAGTCTTTAAATTAACACAGCCCAGCCATCACTATATAGGAGAAAATTTTAAATGACTTTCCCCTAAGTAATTTATTATGAAATTGTAGGGTACCAATTATTTTTTGGTGGTATTGGAGTTTGAACTCAGGGCCTTGTGTTTACTGGGCAGCTTCTCTACCACTTGAGCCATGGATACCACCTGAGCCCCAGGATACCAGTTATTAAGACAAGATCTTAAATATTCCACAGAAAAAAGTGTGGTTTTCCTACAGAAGAAGGGAAAATTAATTGACCAGATATGTTATCTCATTCTTTTTAAAAATTTACTTACAAAGAAAAGAGATTTATTTAGCTCATACTTCTAGAGAATCAAAGGCATGTTGACCAGGTACTTTCTTAATAGTAAAAAGGAATGCCAGAAATAATGTCTTTCAGAATTTTAGAAAAATGACTTGATCTTCAACTATACCAAAATGTGAGAGAAAGATAAAATATTTTCAGGCATGCAAGAACTTAAAGTTCATCTTCTGTATATACTTCTTGAAACAATTATTTAAAAATCTTATAGTAAAGGGGGAAAATAAAGAGAAAAACATTGTATTCAAACCAGGGATCTTGACTCAATGCAATAAAAATAAACCACAAAAGTAATTAGTAATAGGCCTTGAAAACAAATAGCGCAAATTTAGATCAGGATGGTGGAGGGCTCTAAAATGAGTATCTTTAAGTAGAAATTTAAGAAACATAGTACTTTTTATGTTTCCTGACCTCTTTCCAGTTCCTCTCTTACCAGCATCCCATCAGGCTTTTGAACACCCCATTCTACCAGTGGTGCCCTTAGCAACATCTCTGCCCTCCGTCTTTCTATCTAGTGATGAGCTATAGGTTCTCATCATCATACTTTGTCTTTTGGCACAGTGAATCATTTCTGCCTGAAACTCTTCTCTTGACATTCACATTCCCTGATTTTTCTTAATCTCACTGACCTCTGTTAGTTTTTCTGGTACTTTATCCTGGCCTCTGAATATTGTATTGTCTCAACGTTCACTGCTTGTACTTGTCCTTATACATTTAGTGATCTTGCCCAGGTTCATGCCTTTTTGAGTATTACCTATGAACTGACAACTCCCAACTTGTTTCTTCCACAAATTTTCTCATATGAATTAATGACAACTCCATTTACCAGTTGCCAGGCTGTAAAACTTGGAGTCAGCCTGAACTCCTTGCCTTCTTTTATGTCATGTCAGTTAATCTCTTTGGCTCTACTTTCACAATTTATCCAGAACCTCTGTCACTTTTCTCTGCTTTTCTCTTTGTCTAAACCATTATGATCTGTTGCTGTTATATTTTGCTAGCTTTGAACCAGGCTCCATGCCTTTGACCTTGTTCCCCTTCAGGTTATTAAAACAATAGCCAGAGTATTCCTACTAAAACAAGTCGGATATTCCTCTTTTCTGCTCAGAACTGCTCAGTAGTTTTCCATCTCCTTCAGAATGAAACCCACAAATTTCTCACATTAGCAATAAAGATCTGTGTGATCTGCTCTGCTGTTTTATTCCCCCCACCTTTCTTAATTAATTTTCCAACTTCATCTGTTAGTTTCTTGCTCATTTTATCCTTGATTTGCTATTAGTTATTTCTGGAGGTTCTCACTTGACAATCTTTTTTGTTTACAATGCTTGGAATGCTCTTTCCCCTCCCTCACTTTAAATGTTTGCTTCAAAGATACCCTCTTGATGAAATTGTTTACTCCTAAAGAGCTCTTTACTCTCTGCTTTATTTTGACCCATAGAATGTATTGTCTAATGTGTTATATATGTTTTGTTTTCTTTAGTGCCTGTGCCTCATACTGTAATTTTAGATACATTTATCCATTTTATTATTGTTGTTTCCCCAGCTCTGAAAATAATGCTTGAAACTTGATAGAACAAGGTATTATTTCAAAGAAAAGACTTTGGGTAAAACATTCGCAGTATGAACTTGTATCCATGGTCATGCTGTGGATGACACTGATGTGGGAATATTCAAGTTGTTTGATATTATTTTTCTTATTAGGACAATGTTAATCAGAGCTGTGTTTTTGCCAATATAGGAAGATCATTATTTTTATATTCATTTTCTCTTTTGCTATTGCTAATCTTCTGACTTGATCCAGATTTATTAGAAGAACACAACCTGTTGAATTTGTGATTTTGAGAGTGAATGTAGGTGTGTTCTATATGTAGCTACCAGGGTCCAACAGATGATGTATATAGTTAAACTCACTTCCAGAGCTGTCATCTTCTAATGAATTTGCATTAGTGATAGACAATTAGCAATATCTCAAGTGTTTGAATAGAAAAAACTTTTGCTAAACTTTAAAAACAAGCTGAATCTTCTTACATAGTAAATAAACAGAAGAAAGACTTTTGTATTTGTTTAATGGTAAGTTGTATTCCTTCCCTAAAACTAGATTTTTATTTGGGATTAAATTATCTGATCATCTGACTGATATTATAACTACATCATTGTTTATACAATACGTTAATTATGGTTATTTGCCGTTAAACATTTAAAGGAGAAGTTTGTATTCTTAGGCTTAATAAGAATTTTAACAATGTTGAGGCAAAAGAAACTATCATGCTTGATGGAGAAGTAAAGATAGCATATGTAGTAGACTCCCAAATAGTTGCCCAGTCAGCCCTTCTCCATATGTATTTGCTTATTTACTTGTAAGCTATATTTGTATTGTTGTCTATGGTAGTCATAAGGACTACTTACAACTACTGAGGTCAAGGTTGTCAAGAGCAGATGTAAATCTATATTTCAGATAGCCATTTTGATAGTTTTGAGCATTTTAAAACATTGATTTGTCAGATTAGGTTATGTTTTTCTCAGTGATTATAAGACTAACAAAGAGCTTCACCAGAAGTATCAATTTCGCTATTTTTGTTTTGTGCTTTTATTACTAATACTTTGTTCAATCCATTGTTTCTTTATAGGAATCTTTTGCAGCTTATTCATTGTGTGAGTAAAAACTACATCACATCCATAATTCTACTGAACTCAGCACACAGAAACTGCCATACATGTCACAGTTCACTGAAAAAGAGCCATCAGGTAAGGAAGGTGTCAGTTCTATATTAAGGACTTCTTATTTTTCCCTCTGAGTACCTTAACTACCATTTGTGACATGTCATCATCTGATACATGGTCTTAACTAAAGGCCAGTTTTGTTTACCTGCTTAATATTCTCTAGCCCATAAAGAGCTTTGGCAGTGTGATAATTTGGTTTATGAAAAAATCTTTTCCGGTAGATTTCATCATGAAAATCTAAAATACATCAAAGGAACCCAATTTTAAAAGATAATTTGGGGGGCAGGAGGCCAATAATTCTGATTCTACAGTTTTTCATGTTTAATTAAATAGCATGTGAAGAATAGTATTTTATGCTAATAGTAAGTTTTATTTGATGTTCATATGATTTTGAACATATGACTCATGAGGTGGTGAATAATAGCGTATATGTTGAAGCAGTTTTTCTCCAACTAGTTGCTAGAATGAAGGTCATTGGTGTTATTCTTTTATTTATTTTTATTTTTTTTCAGTAATGGATCAAGAATCCAGCAAGGGTGCTTGGCCCAAACCTGCAGGAGGATATCAGACAATTACAGGCAGGAGATATGGAAGAAGACATGCATATGTCAGTTTTAAACCATGTATGACGAGACACGAAAGAAGCTTAGGCCGGGCTGGTGATGACTATGAAGTGTTGGAACTAGATGATGTTCCAAAAGAAAATTCCTCAGGTATATAACATGTAATTACTTAAGGGTTATTAGTATTTATATTGGGATTAACCTTGTAATATTTAAATTTTTGAGTTTCATGTGTGTAAATACAGTGCATTTCCTATCAAGAAATGCTATTTTGAACTTTTTATTGAACTTAATAAGCACAAAAGAAAATAGAATATTGCCAGTCATTAAAATAAAACTACAATGATATGGCACTGGTTTGACTGCCACCTCCTTTAGCCAGAAGTCAATTTTCAGCAGCTTCTCTCCCAAAATCTTAATGTGAACTGAGTATATTTTTCACTGCAAACTACATTTAATTAACTTTTAATTTTATTTCTAAATAATTTAGCTTAACTAGTTTATTTTTCATTATTTTATAAAATGAACATGCCAAGTAGCAGTTAGTCAACTAAAACTTCTTAATTATTCAGTGGTGAAATGTATTTTGCAGATATCCATGTACTGTAGTTACAACGTTTTGGGCTGCATTCATTTTTTCATCTGGTCCTAAGCAAACTTAATAAACCTAGAATATTTGTACTGTTTTTTATATGTAAGAATCTGAATTACCTGCTAAAGTCATTCCACTAAAGAATTTTACTGGTTTTTGCAGTAAGACTGAACTTTAATTATTTTATAACTTATTAATCTTTGTTCCAGCAAATCTCAGTGTCTTTTTAAAAATTAATAGATTAGTGGTAATGAAAGATAGTTGTGCTTAAAGTAATGTAAAGGGTAGATTTAATTTTATTCATTCTCAGACATCTGAAAACTAAGCTATGGCAAACAAAGTCAGAATATTGACTAATTTGTTGTTTTCAGTCATAGCTGTAAAACATCTAAAGTTACCTGTTATCATCAATGTATTACAACACTCCATTTTGGGGATCGAAGTCTGGTACATGTTTAGACACTAAGATATAATTTGAATTAACTTCAGAACACAAATAGAGTCTTATTTCTCTTAGATCTATAATCTGTGCTTATTGTGTTGCCATACTACTTTTGAAGGTTTCATTTCTATTTTTATCTATGTGTGATAAATGGAGGTAGATTTGGAGATTGGGGGGTGGGGGGGTAGGTTGGTTGCCCTGTAACTCCACCTTTGCTTTCCATTGTGTAGCCTGTCATTAGCCCCTCCTTTATGTCTTGCGGGAGGTTTTGGGTATTAGGATTTAGCTGAAAAACCATCTGCAAAAGAAACATGGGTGAAAGGATATTTAGAAGCAAAAATAAATTCATAAGGTAACCAGTATGTGCTGCCAGTTAAATTAAGGAGCATAGAAGCAAATCAATTCAGTCATATTTTCAAGTAGGTAATAATTGGTATAATTTCCACTTAAATGATAGTTATTTACTTAACATTTTATCTGAATTAATCCCTCCAAAATGTTTTCTTTTGTTCTCTATAAAGGTTCCAGTTCATTGGATCAAGTTCATTCTTCCTTATCCAACGAACCTATATTTGACAAAGGTGAAACAGAAATTCCTACTTGTGATACAGCATTGGTCCAAACCATTAAGAGCAGTCCATCCTTTGCTACAGAACATCAGAGTGAGGAAGTCAGGGAGACCTTAGAAAGCAGTACAACTCTTCATAATCACTCTGAGGCAGAGTATACTCCAGGAGCTTGTAATGTCTTAAGTGTCCAAAATGGAATTGCATTGGTTCATACTGACTCTTATGATCCAAATGGCAAGCATGGAGAGAATAATGACTGTCTTCAACTTTCTGCAGAAGTTGTGGAAGGTGGTGGATATCAGGAAGCATTAGGCAATGCAGTTTTTGACCTGGAAAATGGAGAGGCAAAGGCATATACTGGTCTTTCACCACCAGTTCCTTCCTTTAACTGTGAAGTAAGAGATGAGTTTGAAGAATTAGATTCGGCACCTTTAGTGAACAATTCTGCTGGTGATGCTGAGTTTGTTCATCAGAACAGGCAGGAATTTCAGAGGTCCTCTTCTGAAGATGAAGTTGTTAGAAAGAAACAAGATAATAATGACCAGGAAAGACAGACAGAAAATTCAACTGAAGATGCAGCCTGTGTTCCAGAGCATATTTGTAATGAACAAAATACCAGTGACAGGGACAGTAATCATAGAAGTTCTCCTGAACAGGTAGTGAGGCCAAAAGTGAGAAAAGTGATAAGTTCAAGCCAGGTGGACCAAGAAATAGGTTTCAATCGGCATGAGGCTAAACAAAGAAGTGTACAGAGATGGAGGGAGGCTTTAGAAGTTGAGGAATGCAGCTCAGATGACCCCTTAATAAAGTGTGAAGAATTTGATGGAGAACATGAATGTATGTTCATGGATCCACCCTACTCAAGAGTTACACAAAGAGAAACAGAACATAACCATGTAACACCAGAAAGTGGAGCCACAGCAGGAAGGCAAGAAGGTCGAGATAACGCCTTTTGGAATGGCTGTGGAGATTATTACCAACTCTATGACAAAGATGAAGATAGGTAAGGCCTTATACAATACTTTGTCAGATTGTGTAGTGAACTAAGTGGTGTATTTCTAATACCATGATGTTTGATGGACTGTCTGATGTGTTCATGGAATTAGAGATTTTGACTTCAAATATTCTTAGTGAGCACTAACCATGCATGCAAACTACTGGTTAGAGTTTTTCACAGAAACTTTCTGTGGACCATTTTAGTAGTTTGCAGAAATTGGAAGTCTAGACAATGGATTATTAGGTACTATAAAGGGTAGAGATGCTAATTATTTCAATTAATGATATTTCGGTGAATGAAATGTAAAATACTCATTGTATTAAAAATTTTTTAAATTTATTGTATCAAAAAATTTTTATATATTCATTATACAGGGGTGGGGGGGATTCATAGTGACAATTCCTGTTAGATGTATATTGTGCATTAGTTACATTGCCTCCATCATCTCTCCCCCCAATCTCCTCCCTACCCCACTTAAAGCAATTGCAAGAGATTTCTTAGTTCTGTTTCATATAGGTATGTGAAGTCCACCTACCATATACTGTCACCTTAATCTCCTTCCTTCACCTTTCTCCCTCCTACGTACCCCCCCACACTACCTATTTTACAGTCGTTTTTCATTATTAATATTTAAGTTGATGTTCAAAGGCGTGTCTTAGTGTATGTCCATTCAACCCCTTCCACTAATCTCCCTCACCCCTTTGTCTCCCACCCCCCATTTTCAACAGCTTTCAGTATGCATCCTCATGTCCTCTACCTTCACATCTTATGTTATGCGATATTAGTGATGCTCTACCATTTCTTCCTGTATTTTTAATCTATGTCAAGCCAGTTTAGGTTTAGAAAGTGATTAAGATCACAAAAACAATGATTGGTAATATTGCATTAACTTTGTTAATAGTTATAAATATCACCATTTGCATTTTTATTGGTTCTACCTGATCTTTCCACCACTAAGTTTACTTTTTATCTTCATTAGCTTTTAAAAATTCTCATTAATGCCTCTGTGTGGTAGGTACTGTTATTTCCCACATTCATAGATATGGAAACTGAGGCACAGGGAGTTACTAAGTTCCTATGGTCAGAAAGTGGCTAAATGGTAGAGCTGGACTTTTCCTCAATTCCAGAGGCTATATTCTTCATCAATATAATGTACTGTTTCAAGAGAATGTACAACTTTTCTTATAGTAAGCATTCTGATTTCTTTTACAAACATAGATTCCTTCTTATCCAAACCATAACAACAGAAATAAGAAAGAAATGGAGAAATTCTTTGCACATCTTTTGAATTTTCATTAACTCAGAATTGAAACTTTTATGCATCTTTTTAAGCTAGTTGCAACCCCAACAGTGTTCAGTTACAGTGAAATTGCAAGATTTCATGAAGTAGAAGAAATAATTGTTCTTTTTTTAGCTAGAAAGTGGTATAAAGGAAGAACTTTACCATTTTGAATTTTAATGGATTTGTCATAAGCTACTATAATGTAATATGTGTTATTATTGAAGACAATCGAAATGTGATTTCCATTGAAATTTTGAAACTTTTAAAGGATAACAACTAATTTCTGCATGATCTGCTATTTTTAAAGCGAACAATAAAGTTAAGAATTTTTTGCCTGACTTTTAATTTTTTAGTTTGAGTCCATAATCTTATCCACAATCACAGAGTTCTACAAACCGAAATTGGCCAAAAAAACTGACCTGATAATTGACTTCCTTGATTGTTGATCTGGATCTAAATTGAAATGAGGCTCTTTCTTCATGTATTTCATATATTTTGTTGCAGAAACATAAATGTACTTGATAGCTTTGCTGGACCCCTTTGGGGGTAGATAAGCAATATTTCTAAACCTGGGAAGAAATATCTAAATTTCAAAACATAGTCAGCCCTAAGACTTTTTGATTGGATTGTGAACCTCTGTTAGAACTCTATGTTATAAAAACAAAGAAAGTCTTTGATAATTTATCTTTTTGAAAGTATAAGTTTGTTGTACTTTTTTTCCTGGTTATGTTTTTATTTCTTGGAAGAAAATTCTTTAACTTGACTGTACCTTCACCACTGAGAACACACTCATCAAAATTCTTAGTTTTGCTTGATTCTTTTTTCTTTTTCTTTCTTTCTTTCTTTCTTTCTTTCTTTCTTTCTTTCTTTCTTTCTTTCTTTCTTTCTTCCTTTCTTTCTTTCCTTTCTTTCTTTCCTTTCTTCTTCCTTCCTTCCTTCCTTCCTTCCTTCCTTCCTTCCTTCCTTCCTTCCTTGCTCCCTCCCTCCCTCCCTCCCTTCTTCCTTCCTTCCTTCACTCAGGGGCTCACCCTTGCCAGGCAGGTGCTCTTACTGCTTGAGCCACTCCGCCAGCCCCGTTTTGCTTCATTTTTAGTCAGATCTATCATCATGTAATGGAAATGATGAAATCTTTATATTCTTTGCCGACTGTAAGAGGTATTTTTCTTGACTCCTGGTTTTTAAATTGGTATCTTTTGTCATTTATAGAAGTGTTATATTTACCTAGGATTCTGAACTTTAAATAGGGTGTTTTCTTAGTATACTTGCAATATTTTTCCTGAGTGACATCAATGTTATGAGCAATGGTAAAGTTTTTGCAAACAGAGTATACAGACAGAAAAACACTTATCCTCAGTAAAAACTTTGTTCTTTCAACTTGTTAGTAATATATTGACTTACTGAACTCACAGTTGGGGTGTGCCAAAATGGTGGAACTAATTTCGTAACATTCTTGTAAGATACATTGAAATGCTAGAAACAATTAGGTGTTTTTGTTTTTTCTTTTTAAGAATCATAGAATAAGTTCTGAAGGATAGTGGTTCTATCTTGGATTCCACTTGGATTTGCATATGTAAGCCTTAAGATATATTTTAGGACCTTATTTCAATACTCTGAACATTTTTCACACGTACTTCTATTTCTATGCTTCTGTTTCCTGTTGCCCTCCCAAATTCCCTGCCAAGTATTTTAGTTACCAGCATGCCTTTTAACATGGTGGCAGCCAAAGGTCAAATTATAATAGCCATACACTCTTACTAAGTTTCATTTTGCCCCCTCTTCATCTGCCTGATACTTTACTGTTGTCCAATGCAGTTCAGATATTAGTAGGCTGGAGAAATGGGGAAAAGGTCCTACTTTTCTAACTTTCTTGAGAAGGAAACTTTGAGTTGTTTTCTCTGCTTATAAAACTTGAAAGTGGTAACTTGCAAAGATTTTTTTGTTATGTTTGTATTATAGTAGTGGCAAATAGATTATGACAAACTCACTGTGACATTTTTAGATATGGGAACTATGGCCACTTTTGAAAAATTCTAAGTGATAACTTAGTTATATCTGAAATTTTACACTCAATGGGATAAGCATTACAGCTGGTAGCATTGCTCCAAGCTGTTTGACAGGAACTGAGCACTACTTTATCAAATTAGAACTGCAAGGAGAATTTTAATAGGCAGCATATAATTACCAGACTTGGAATTAGACCAAAGAGCTAAGGTTAGCACCTTGCTCTTTTGAAATACACCCCTAGAACTTTAGTAAGTGAGGACAAGATGTTGAGTTTAAAAAACCTTGCAGTAATACTAGCAAATTTTAACCTTGGTCCTAACTGTTCTGAAGAGAGGCATGCCATCTACTGACCATTTCTTATAGCACTTGAGGTTTCTTTCAGTTTTCCTGTCACTAGAACTTAACTTTGCTTAAAAGGTTAAAAAAACTTTAAGGGAAAACATCAGGACAACTATTTTTGTTGATATTGTTGAGAAAGTAAAACAAGTATTAGCCATTTAATTGATTGAAATTTGATATGTTAAAAATATTTACTGAATTTTCTAAAGTGCCAGACTTTGTACCAGGTGCTCTGTAAATGTATAATAGTCCCTGTTTCTATGGTGTTTATGTTCATTTTATAGATGAGGAAAAGTGAGCACAGAGAAATTAGTTGCCCAAATTTGCATCACTAGTGAGTATTGAGACAGAATTCTACTTAAATCTGTGTGACTTCAAAACTTCTTCCTATCATATGGTATCACCTCCAGGGTAAGAAAAAGACAGTCATGAATGAATCTTTCACCAGCTACTAAAAATAGTATTTGTTTCATTACTAAAGAAGTTGTAGGTGGTAGGTTTTTTGTTTGATTTTTTTAAATAATAGAAAATCTTTTTTTGGTGGTACTGGGGTTTGAATTCAAGCACTGTACCACTTGAGCCACTCTACCAGCCCTTTTTTGTTTTGGATATTTTTGAGATAGGTCTCATGAAGTATTTGCCCAGGCTAGCTTCAAACCTCAATCCTGATCTCTGCCTCCCTAGTAGCTGGGATTACAGGTGTGAGCCACCAGTGTTCATCTAATAGTAGAAAATCTCAATCATAGTTGCATAGTCTTCTCTTACTAACCTTCTGAGCCAGTTTAGACTTTTAGGACTACAAATTAGTAACAGACATTAAGTTTGTCATAGATAATAACATTCATAATGGAATAGTAATAGAAATTTTTCATATATTAGTTTCTGTACCTCATTCCAAATACACATTCATTTCTGGAACACACTTGAAAGCTAATTATAGTCCCTTTTCAAACAAACTAATAATAGTAAAAGTTATTGATTTAAAATCACATGATTGCACAGTCTCTACTGCCTTCCAAGAGCTATGAGCACCTCACTACTCAGGCTCCTTTGAAACTACTGGTAAATATTAAAGAAACTGATTTTGTACTTAGATGAAAAGGAAAATTCCTAAGGCCAATCAAATTTAGTAGAATTTATTTTAGCAAAGCATACTAAAACTCTTCATGAATTGGCCAACTCTCAGAAGCAGAGCAGGATCTCAGAAATTTCACTCACAAAGTAATCAGACAGAATTTATAGAAAGATGATATGAGGCAGAGAAAGCAACCAGATTGTCTGTAGCTTAGTCCTTTAATCAGTCAGTTGGTCACAACCTAGTTAATTGGCTACCAAACCTTCTTGCAGCCAACCAAAGCTCACTTTCTGTGATAAAATTCTAGGTTGCTTTGATTTATTGAGCACAGCTCAGATTCCTAGTCCAGATTCATGGCCTCCCACAAATTTAATTTAACACTTAGGAAAAATAAATGTGTTAAAGAAGCAAATACTGCAGTGAGTTGTACTGACTAAGCCATGAAAAAATTGAAAAACAAAGGAAGCAAGTTTTATACAGAATGATCTTCAAAGAAATGAAATCTGATCTAGTCTGAAAGGGGGGAAATGGTGAAGTGATTGTGAAGACATTCTTAATGGTGAGAGGAATCGTGGTGATGAAAGTTCAAGCTCTGGGCATAGTGTGGAATAGAGCATTCACGTAAGGGAAGTGTTGACTGTAAGAATGTATTGGGATCACATTGTAGTAAAATCATAATTGTTACTCAAAGTAGCTTGACCCTTTTATTCTATGAGTCAGTGTTCCCTGTGGGGTGAGATACATCAAGTGATGCAGGGTTAAAAGTTTTTAATTTTAATGATTGCTTCTTTATTTGAATGGGAATTAAAAAAAATAGTATATCAAACCTGGACTTAAAGGAAACTAAGTAGGTTGTGGAAGCAGTGATTTGTGACAGTTAATGATGGCTTGTTATTTTCTAGGTACTATTAAAATGATACATATTAATTCATTTACCCTTCATATGAACTCCATGAGCTGCTAGTTACTATTATTATAGTCACCTAATCTGTGAGGATGTAAAGGCACAGAGAGTGGTGGATTCAAATGTAGGGAAGTTAACTTCAAAACCTATGTTCTCACTTATTGTACCTTAGGATATGTTGTTAATATGCAGTTCTAGCAAAAGTTGTGAGTGTGGTAGGCATATGGCTTAAGTTTATGGAAGATTGCTTTAGGAAAGAAAAAAGCTGCTAAACATTTTTGGAATAATACTATAAATGTACTATTTCATGTGAGTTGAAATGATGGTGATATGCATTTTTTAAGTGAGTGGGATTAAATTTAGGAAGACCAATTAGTAATCAACTGTATAGGTCTAGGTTTGGAGAAGAGCTCTTGATCCAGGGTTTCTTAGTAGAAGTAGGGAAAAAAGGTGTTAGGATATGTAAGACTCATTGTGCAAAATGAATGGAAAATAAGAAAGGACTTAGTGTGGGAAATTAAGGAAGAGGTAAAGGTAAATGGTTTCTAAAATGAGAGCATGATAATGGCATTGGCAGATAGGAAATTGACAAAGGGACTTCTCTGACAGATGAATTTTTATAATAAGAATATAACCTTTGAAAGGGGAGTGAAAAATCTAAAACTCTTCAGTGGATAGTTAGTGATTATGAAAGCTTAGTATAGCACTGAGGGCTGGATGGGGATATACATTCAAAAGTTGTCCTTTGAAGTGAGGGTCTTATATAATGAGAAATAATATAGGTGCAGGACCTGCAAGCTGCTGCTGCTTTTTTTTGTTGTTGTTGTTAAGGATAGTTTTGCCAACCAATAGATAGAATCAAAGATAAACATGTAAGAAACATTTTTAGTTCAGAGTTAAAACTAAACATCCGGCAGGTGAGGTTTGGCCCAGTGGCTGTATATAGCTTACCAATCTGTAATATATAGGCTTCTTAAAATGTACTGACTATTGATTATAAACATTCTTTTTATTTTGACATTTAGAGATATTCTGTCAGTTTTTTCATTAATCTACAGAAGGACACAAGTTTCATGTTCTCTTTCTGGACAGGATTTTTCTGTGAGTTAAAAGCTTAAAAACGAGGTCTTTTATGTATGTTAAAATTTTCCACACATTTATTTAGAAATTACTCTAATTGTTAAAGACATAAAAATTGGAGTTGGTAATCTAGCTTCGAATTCGAGAAGCTTCATAGTCAAGGAAAGTTAGTTCATAAGCTCCTTTAAAACTATTTCCTGTGTTAGATATTTACACTTAAATAAGTCTAGAAATGGCTTACTTGGGCTTAGATTATTCTTTAGGTCACAGAAAATTTTATAGAGTATAAACAACTTTGGCTAACACCCAACTGAAAGAACCCATTTTAGTTGCTATGCCCAGCTATTCTGCATTCCTGTTCCAGGATGTTTGTGCCCTGTTGCCTATTTGCTAAATATTAGAAGTTGATTTTTTTTTTTTTGTTTTGAGCTCAGATTAATGCTTCTGTTTACTAATAGCATCTTGGTCTCTTGATTCATCTGCCTATAAAAGGAAGAATCACTAACTGGATATTTATAACAGTATCATCAAGAAAATATAATTTCTTACCACTTATCATTTCCTTCCAGAAATATAAACTAAAATTTGTTAGTTTTTATTTCCCAGTAGTCAAGTGAACCAAAGGAAGTCTTTAAATACTTCACCAGAATGTTGGAAAATGATATTCAGATTTATTTTCAACACTGACAAATAATATTTTGTTTGACCTTTATAGTAATGACTAGTTCTTTAAAGGTAAAATGTAACCATATTAACCAAGTTAAATGCAATCAAACTAATTTTCTGAGATTCTTTATTAATACTATTTATTGTACCTTTTTGACTCCCCCCCTCTTTTTTTGTTACTATTGGGGTTTGTACTCAGGGCTTTGTGCTTGCTAGGCAGGTGCTCTACTGCTTGAGCTAAACCTCCAGCCCCTAAATATCCTTAAAAAATTTTTTTTTTTTTTGGCAAAAAGAAAACAATTTAAGCTTTTACTATATGATAATTGGTTGTTTGAATGTAATTAGGAAGTTGTTTCACTTGGGTCAGGTGAGCAATAAATCTATTACTTATTCCAGGTAGCATTTATGATTACCAAATTGTGTTTACAATTTACTTAGAAATATATCTTGGGGGAGGGAGGGAGGAGGAGGGAGAAGGAAAGGGGTGGAGGGAGATGACTCAATATGTACACATGTGAGTAAATGTAAAAATGATAAAATAAAAAAAATTTTTTAAAAAGAAATATATCTGAACTCTGACATGCCTCTGTCTAGGCACCATGCATTTATGTACTTTAGTGAAAGAAAAACACAGTGCTGTATTCCATAACTTGCTATATGCATTAATCACTTGAGTTACCTTCTACTTCTACTGGATCTATTTTGTTTTTTTAAATATTTTAAAAATTAAATTAGCACCTGACTAAGCATGTATGTCATTAACATCTTTTATCTCATGATGCCTGGTTAACACTTCAAATGGTAAAATTAGTGAACATGTAATGATTGTTTTATTTCTGTTTCGATTTACAGTTCAGAATGTAGTGATGGGGAGTGGTCTGCTTCTTTGCCTCATCGATTTTCTGGTACAGAGAAAGATCAGTCCTCAAGTGATGAAAGCTGGGAAACTCTGCCTGGAAAAGATGAGAATGAACCAGAGCTACAGAGTGATAGTAGTGGCCCTGAAGAAGAAAACCAAGAATTATCTCTTCAGGAAGGGTATGTTTATCAGTAAGATTTGTTTTTTTATGTGTATATACAAGAATGGTAGGCATAGAATTCGAATATTGGGTATGCTATTAATTGCATAATAAGCCCCAAATATGGCCAAACACCCCTCCAGTAATGCTGTGGTATTATAAAGAAATAATAGGAACAAATGAATTACAGTTGCCATTGCCATACAGTGGAGTAATGACCAAGGAGAACAGGTAACCTCAAGAAGGCTATCAGTGACTCATTCACAGAAATGGAGACAGACGCAGAAGCCGAAGTTTTAATATTCATATCTAATTGCATTGGATAATATCTCCAAAATATCAGTGACTGATAGTATACATCTCTGACTTCTCCTAACTTCAGTGGGAATACTCCTAGTCTAGGAATTGTCAAATCTACACTGCTAAGGGCCAAATAATATTTTTGACATTGTGTGTCAGTCTCTGTTGCAGCTTGTCAGCTCTTCCGTTGTAGTATAAAAGCAGCCATAGGCAATATGAAAATGAATTGGTATAGCTGTGTTCCAAAAAAATGTTATTTACAAAAATGGTGACAGGGTAGAAATAACCCGTGACCCATAGTTTACTGACCCTTTGTTTGAGCATTGTCCCAGTAAGAATGTTTCTTACTTTTAGGTTGATTTAATACATATTCATTCATTCATTCTCTGTTTCTCTCTCTCTCATCACATTAACAAGAATGTTGAATTTTATTAAAGCCTTTTCAGCACTAATTATCATTATAATTTCACTTTTGACCTGGCAGTCATGAGAATTATTTTGTTATTGGATTTGCTGATACTCATCTACCCTTGCTCCTTAAAATAAACCAAACATGGTTTAGTGTTGGATTTCTTTACTGTAATTTTACATAAGACTTTTATGTTAAGATCCTTAACTAGGCATTGTCTCTTAGGTTTTGGTTTCAATATTAATTTGGTGCTTGCTTTGTTTTTTAAAAAACAGTATGCTTTTATTTTCCTATCTTCTATGTCTGTTGTTTAAATGGCCTTTGCTAGTATTTGCTTGTGAGGCTATCTAGGCTTGTTGTTTTATTGTAGGGGAATGTTTTTTTGGTAATTTTAGTTTTTCCTGTGATAACTGGTTGGTTCATATTTTGTCTCTCATCGGATCTATTTTAATAAGTTGTGTTTACTTGGCGAAAATATTCTTTTATCTTGGACTAATACTGAAATTTGTAGCTCTAAACTATAAATTTCCACCTTGAGATTAATTCTGTAAGAAAATCTAGTTAGTAGAGGCAGGTAGTAAGCAAGATGCAAACACAGTAAATTACAGACTGTGATGTTTATTACAAAGAGAATGAAAGAGTAATGTGATGAAAAAGGTAACTGATAGGAAGCTATATTAATCATAGTGGCTAGGGACAATGTCTCAGGAATTGACTTTTGAGCTAACAGATGAGAATTAATGGTTAAAGAAGAGTTTTCTATACAAAGAAAAGGTAAGAACAGAAATACTGAAAAGGAAAGGGCTTGGAGAAGGAAGTGAGGGCAGTTGGGCTAAAACACAATGAGTGGGAATGATAATGAGATAAATAGGAAGGAATTAGATAGGCAGATAGAATTACTGAAATTGTGTCAGAGAGAAGTGAGTTTTTTAAGAGAATTAACTGATCTGACATACATTTTAAAAAGATGACTTGCTGCTTGGTGATGATTGAATTAGACAGGGACTAAAGTTTTAAAAGTGGGGGTGAGTTAGGTTGTTCAATTAATGGATGATAGTGAAGATTAAGAAAATAAATTTGAGAATATTTTGAAGTTTAAGTAGTAGGATAGATTGCGTATGGGATGAGGCAGACTGAGGAATCAGTCATGACTTAGGTTTTTCTTTGAGCATTAGGTGGATGTTATTATCATTTGCTGAGTTGGGGGAAGTTTAGAAAGAGGACTAGGAAATAGGAACTCATTTGGAAATTTTAGATAGCAGTTAGTTATCACTGTAGATGACAAGTAGATGGGACATAGCTTTCAAGTTTAAGGGGACGTCCCTGCTTGTAGTTAAATACCAAGATACATGCAAATAAATGAAATACAGTTGGGAGGCACCAGCTGCTGTCATTAATGCTGTCCAATAATATTGTAATCTGGTAATTTATTTTTTTTAAAAAGTGGGTAGTGGAAGACAGAACTAAACACTGGACAGAAATAATAGGGGCAGGAGTAACTGAAGTGTATGAAGTGTATGTTTTTGAGAGTGCTGAAGTATTAGTTAATGTTATGTTAAATTTGTGTTGTAATATTTCAGAGATAACCAGTACAATAAGAAATACAGAATATATGTATTAGAAATCTATATGGGGGAAAAGGACTTAAGGCATGGAAAAAGAATACTTAAAGAAAATCCATTAAAAGGTAAGAAAGGGAGAAAAGACATAGAAAAAGAAGGGGAAAAAAATTAAAAAGATAGACTGTAGGAATAGGTCCTGAAATTAGTTGTCACAATAAATATAAATTGAGTAATATTTGCTTGTACATGACAAAGCTTATCAGTTGGATATTTTAAAGTTAATGTTGTTTACAAAAGACACTTAAATGTATACAGAGAGATGAAAGTGAAAGGTTTGAAATGATACTGTAGATAAAATAATAACTGAAAGAAAACTGGAGATTTAATGAATTAAAACATTAAGAGAGAAAGAGAGAGAAAAACACCAAAAATGGTGACAAACAAGCCCAACCAGCAAAATGCAGCCATTCTAAACTAGCATGGATTTAATAAAATAATCATTATACAAATTAAAATTTGACCAAGCTATATGGATAATACTGACAAATTTATAATCCTACTAGGAAATTTTTACTTAGCTATGTCAGTTACCACTATTAAAAATTAGTCTATCTTTAGCTGATTTGAATAACTTAAGCATGGTTTGAATGAAAACTGCATCCTGTGGAATACACTAATGCACAAGGAACAGTTATAAAAACTAGGCATGTACTAGACTACATAGCACAGGTTTACACATTTTTCGAAGAATTGATCGCCTACAGACTGTTTTCTCTGGTTACAATGCTATTAACTTGGAAGTAAATGATAAAAATAGAAATTTTTATATGGTAATATACAAAATTTTTATCCAGACATTTTGAATGATCCATCCTTTTAAACAGCCAGTAGAACAAAGAAGAAACCATAATAGATATTTAAAATGTTTACAATTCAATGATAATAAACATACTATCAGTATAATTTGTATGATACAATGAAATTGATATTTAAGGGGAAATTTATGATAAAAAATGTTTATGTTAGAAAAGAAGGAAAGCTGGACCAAACACAGTGACTCATGCCTGTGATCTTAGCTCTTGGGAGGTGGAGATAGGAGGATTTATGGTTCAAGGCCAGCCTGGACAAAAGGTTAGAGAAACCCTGTCTCAGCAAAGAAGCATGGCATGGTGGTGCATAGGGTTGTGGTTAGAGGCCAGCCTTAGGCAAAAGCATGTAAAACCCTATTTTTAAAAATAACCTAACGCAAAAAATGCTGGTAGCATGTGTGACTCAAGTGGTAGAGTGCTTGCCTGGCAAGAGTAAGGCCTAAGTTCAAATCCAGTACCATTTAAAAAAAAGAAAAGGAATATTAGAATAAACAATGAAAATAAATGGAGATAAGAATTAGGGGAGATAAAAGCAAATACTGATTGATGAATTAGAAAAGTTACAATAGAAGAGATCAAAGAAGTCCGAAGTTGATGCTTTGAAAAGATTAACAAAATTGGATAGTGAACAAGAAAATAAAGACAAAGTCAAATAAGTAATACTGAAATACAAAGATGGTACAACTACAAATAAAGATTGGATAGACTAAGAAGACTGCTATAAACTTTCTAATGGTAAAATTTGAAGACTTAGGCATTGACAAATTCCTACAAAAATAGAATTTAACAAAACTTAGGAAAAAATAGAAATGCTAAATAATCTTGTTGTTATTACAGATATGGAGTTGGTTGCTTAAAATCTTCCCATGGAGAAAGCAACCAATCCAGATGGTTTTAGAACTGAATTCTCTTAAGCTACTTTCAAGGGTCATATCACTTCATTCTTATAGAAATACTTCCAGAGAAGAGAAAAAGAAATACATCCCCAACTTATTCTGTATGTCCCCTTTAAGCCTATTTCCAAAAGTATATGTAAAGAAAATTATAAGCTTCTTTCACTCATTATAATAAGTGTCAAATCTTAAAAGAAAATTATTGGGAATCTGATTTTTAAGTGTATTTTTTTAAAGAGAAAAAATTACCAATCTGAGTTTATTACAGAAATGTGAAAAAATTTTCACATGGAAAATCTGTAGTTAACATTCACCACATCAGCAAAATTCAGTAGAAAAACCATGTTATAGATTCTGTAGATGAGAAGAAGACATTCACCTCGTAAAGTTCAGCACCTCATCTATAAATTCAAAACTTAGAAATTAAGATTAAAATGGCAGTTCTTTGACCCCATAGTTGGTATCTACAACAAAAACAAAATTAATAGCAGTAGTTCTCAGAAAGGAAGAATTAAAATTATCCCTCTTAAATTTAAATCAGGAGTTATGAAAAGGTTGCTCACTAACACTGTTTATATAGCCATTTTAGTGGAGGTCTTAGCATGATAAGCTGGGAAAACAATAAAAGGCAAAAAGATATAAAAGGAAGAGAAACAACCTGCTGTCAATATAATTAAGGTTTTCGAAGCATTTAAACTTGTATTACAGCTGTGTGTTCCCATGGGTTTATTGGTTTCTTCTGTTAGCTACACAAAATGAAAGATAGTTTTGATCCTATTCAGAATCTTTCTTTTTTTAACTTATAAAGAATAGCTGTTTTATTTGGTTCATGGTTTTGGAGGCCGAGAAGTTCAAGAGTATGGCATCAGCATCTGGCTAGGATCTTCTTGCTGCAGCATAGTATGGCATAGGCATCACATGGCAAGATAGCAAGCTTACCTGCTCAGGCCTCTCTTCTTACAAAGTCACTAATACCATCATGGGAT